TGCAAAAAGTCCCCAATCAGGGTTGACTGCAGCTTGTTTAGGTGCTGCTCAAGTATGTCAACAGCTAGGTTCAGGTGCAGTGCGAATCAAATCAACTTAAGGTTGAATTGATTCGACTAACTGCAGAAAACCTACAACAGAGGAAATAACTCTCCTAACTCTCCTATGCTGATGATGCTGCAGTCTGAATGCTGTCAGTGAACAAACAGGACACAACAAGACAACAGAGACTCGCCATGATGATCAAACAGGGCTTATTTCTCTTTTCAAGTGTACCTCGTCAAATCACTTCCTCAAAAGTCTTACACATAGTAGATCAAATCTCTTCCGTGCTGTTCCGGCAAAACCTGCAGTCCTAATGCACTTTTTGTCTGGGTAGTTTTGTTTCTTCCCAAACAGAAAGACGTCAAACTCCCACACTTTCTCTTCTGCTCTTTTGTTTCCATCCAGACCACTTGTTTTCACAGTCAGTAGGTTTCCTTTGGTATTAGCTTGGATTAAACGTAGGGAGTGAATGGTGTGTAAAACAACCAACATTTGGCACAGGCTGCTCTGGAGTAACACAGGATTTTCACTGTTTTTTTAATGATCTGCAGTAAAAATTACCCTTCGTACAATAAATGACTTTACTCAGGTTTATAATCTGGTTGATGTAAGTATTGTTAAGGAATTTATTTTCCTTTGCTCAAAACCTTTAAAGGAGAGTGGTCACACACAAAAAATAAATTTATTTTGTGTGTTTGTGTGCAAACACACACAAACATTCTTAGGTAGATGGAAAGTGACAAAGCCGGTGCTGACAACCCCTGACCTCTTTTAAGGGCAGCCATACAAGCAAGGTCACAACAGGACTGACTTAAGACACCTCATAATGTGACAAAACCAAGAGATATAACACAGAATTCTAAAGATTCATTGCAACCCTGAGAGGTGTTTGTACAAGACTTTCACTGTGTGACAAAGTCACAAGTTTCTTGTCTTTGTGTAGGATGTGGTAGTGTTGCATGCTGCAGATAAGTATGTCAATAAGTCTGACATGCCATCCATGAGCAAACAGTGAGTCATCAGTTGGGTTAGAGGTTGGTACAAGGTAAGAAAGGAAAGACAAAGGAAAGGACATTATTAAAAAACAAATATAGGACAAGAAGACAAATGGGAAGGGGAGGTACAGGGAAGGAGACAGGGGGAGAGAAGGTGAAGGAATGACTGGTGCAAGAGGCAGGAGGAGGTGGAATAATTATGCAGCAAGGCCGATCAATAAGGTTCCCACAGTGAAACACTGATGCCTGGACCGGCTAATGGATTCCAGACGCCTCTCTTCTTCCTTCCTCACATCTCTGCCTCACTCACACACACACACACACACACACACACACACACAAACACATGCACGTACACAGACACCCCCCGTCTCTAGTTCAAACAGAGAGTGATGAAGGGAGAAATACAACTGCAGGGAAAAGTGTACAGTCAGTTCCCAGGAAGTGAGATGAGGCAGTGTTGGTGAATAAAGACGAGACTGGGGTCTTTGGAGACGATGAAGAAGTGAAAGATGGGAAAAAAAGACATGAATCAGACATGGCTACCCTTAACTGGAACACCAATCAAAGAGGAGAAACCAAAAAAAGAACCAAACCACAACCACCTTGCACGTCATGGTGAACATCAGAGTTCATGTCAACGTTGAGCAGAAAGTATGTATGAAGGTGGTCAGAGGTCCACAAGACACATCTTGGTGAGTGGTGTTAATAAACACAGTGATTCCTCTCACCTCCTGGAAATCCCTTTAAATCACACGTCACTGACGAGGGTATAAGAACTTAGAAGAAAAGACAACCAAACACAAGAAACCATGAAGACGGCAAACGCAAGACTGTTGAAACCAGCTTCAATTGACACAGACTATCACAGCCCCAGAAGACCAGGACACAGCAGCTCTGCTTTACCACAAACAAATCATCTCATCTTCTTGTTCGTGTTGTTTCAGAACATGCTCCGCAAACTCACTCAATTGTCTCAGTCAAACGTGACCCTTCTGTGGCCCCTGATGTTCACACAGACAGTTCCAGTGTAGGCCAAAGGTCATAAAGAGGGAAAAGCTGTGTGATGAGACATTTACTCTCCGTCCGTCAGAATGGCCTCCCTTTCACCTCCCCCACCAGCATATACACACTCAGCTAATCTCTTGATATCAATTATTCCAGTGGACAGACTGAGGGTGAGAGACAGCTGAGAGAGAGGATCACCTCTACCTTATTTCAAATGTATCAGTTTTACCAGACACATGGACATTAGAATCATTAGTCAGGGTTTTGTAGAACACAAACGTCTGTTCTTGGTGGGCCAAGGGATGTTTGTGTTTTGTGGGGTTGGGTTCAACATTTTTAAATATTGAACTCCTGGTCCTTATCACAATAACCACTTTGTTCTCCTGCAAAGTTAAAATGTATTTGATTCCTTATGTTCTCCGGAGAACTACAGTATAAACAAACGGTGACTCCACTCCCTCTGCCCAAAACCAACCTTGTTTCAGGCCAGTCTGCTTTCACAAGGTATAAGCTGTCTCACTAATTTCCTTTACTTTTCCCCAGTCCCTCAAGGTCTGTTTATGAACACTGTAATGAGTCCATTTTTTTACTCTGGCATTCTCCTATTAGGAACCTGATAGGTCCATTAAACAGCTAGGCCTGCTGACTGTTAGCTTTACCCTGGTACAGTGACTAATGGTGTGTAACCATTAAAAGTGTGCCAAGACCAGTGGATGGGTATAAGACTTGTTCCATTTACATGTGAGCTGTGAAAGAGGATGTCCTGACTGTGCTTTCACTGGGAAGTGAGAGTGATGTCACAGTTGGCAGACAGAAAAGTAGCTGCAGTGTGTCGATCGATTCCAGACAACTGTCAACTTTTCTGTTAAAATAAACCCGTGATAAAATATTTTTATATATGTGAAAGCAGAACACAAAGCCTAGAACAGGGGCTAAAGGTTAGACAAAGTGTGGAAGAAATTGCTATAACAGTGAAAGGAAATGCAAGACCAATGATTGATTTCCAAATACAGTTGTGATGACCAATCAATGGTTAGCCAATGAAATAATCTGTAACTGGTGAATCATTTATTCATTTATTTCAGGAATTGAATGCGTCACAAAAGCTGTTCCCTGTTTCATGTGTGTTGGGGATTTTATTCCCTCAATCAGTAAAGATGACAGTGAAACTATGTAGTTTTTGGAGAAACCTTACCAGAAGCACAATAAAAGTTCAAGGTCAGAGGTCTTTGGCCGTCTGTAAAACCCTTCAAAAAGTGGCATACTGTAGTTGGTAATACAACAAATTTGAAGATCAAGGGTGTCTAACATACTGCCCGTGGACAAAAACCGGCCCGTTAGGGGGTTGAATCTGGGCTGCTTGATGAATTTTGAAAAAAAAAAAAAAAGTACAAACACTATTTTATTGATGTTTTTTAAGTGATATCTAATCAAATACGAATATTTTCTAATATACATCTACTTCTATGCATTGAAACGAGGGCACAAAATTTGGACTTTTGTTGTTTGATCCAATTGTGGACAACATTCTCCATGACGATGATGATACTATGACAATGTTTTGTGTTGCCAAATTGTTGTGTGTGGCCATCAAGACGACTTTTTTTTCCAGGGACTCACTCAATTAATAAGATGCCGTAAGAAAAAGAAGGAAAGGCAGTATGTGGTGGGGATGGCAACCTGGGGTAGAACTACTACTGACCACCAATAAACATTATGAAATGGTAAAGGGCTAACCTTTGTTTTACCTAGACAGTCCACTCAGTTCATTCAATATCATGTTCACTTCATATTCACTCCAGTTGTTACAGACGTCTGTCTCCAGGTGTACAAATCCAATCATTCATGTTTCTGGCAGTTTAAGGTTTTAGGGCTAGTAGGAAAGCAGGTTTAGTTTATGACTACAGACAAGATATATGGAGAACATAAGAAGGTACACAGGGCATAAAGAAGCTGGTTTTGGCTGGGGTGAACTTTTATGTGATTAAAGACCATTAAATATAGGAGGTTTTATGCTAACAACTATCATTAATCTTTGGAAAAGTCGCCTTTTCATCCCTGAAAAACCCA